CTTAGCCATTTTTACAGCAAAACATTCAATTGTGTTCAGGAGAACTCAGATATTTAACTTGTTAAAGAAATGATTTCTACCGTGAGATGGAAAGAAGAGTCCTTGAAAACAATGGGGTCTTTCTCACACTCTAGGACTGGAGGATGATCCTCCCATTTCGGAAGAGATAAGCGTACGTTTTAGATGTTATATTTCACAGGTCAGATGGAAAAGTTCTCATACAAAAGGACCTTTCAGCTTTGCTGAAATCCTACCAGGTGTGCAATTAATTACAATAACAGGTTTTTGTTATTCATCTTATATGATAACATGTGGTTCCTTACTGTCCATCCAGCTTTGTGAATGGAGAGTCAGTCTTACTTCCAAAGTATCGAAAGAATAACAGTTAATGAAAGAAAAACCAGGCAGCACGGTGGCGCAACTGGTGGAGCTGCTGCCTCTCAGCGAGCAGGTCCTTGGTTCAAACACCGGTCCAGGGGCCTTTCTGAGTGGAGTTTGCATGTTCTCTCCGTGCATGCGTGGGTTTACTCCGGGTGCTCCGGTTTCCTCCCACAGACCAAAAACATGCATGTTAGACTGATTGGTAACTCTAAATTGTCCCTAGGTGTGAGTGAGAGAGTGAATGGTTGTTTGTCTCGTTTGTCTCTATGTGTCCCTGTGATGGACTTGTGACCCGTCCAGGGTGTACCCCGCCCCTCGCACAGTGATTGCTGGACATGGGCACCAGCGACCCCCGTGACCCAAAATGGAATAAGCGGGTAAAGATAATGGATGGATGGATGGATGGATAGAAAAACCTTGGTGTGTCCCTACGATTGTATCATGTTGTTTTGATTATGTTCGATTTTCTGTGTATGGGATGATACGTTTCTCATAAAATTTATTTGCATAAACTTGTTAACGACATTTCATTAGCCAAGTCTGTAGACTTGACTTTGTTTCATATATGTGCCTGTTAAAATTTGTGTATGGCTTTGTAAAGCACAACTCTACGTCTCATTTTATGAACAACTCAGCAAAAATGAACAAGAAACATTTTCCCAGCTACACAGTGAGGTGCACAGTAGTTTCATCTGTTTTGTTGTGCCATTTGTCAGTTGACAAATCCTTTCAATATAGTCTACCTGGCTTCGCTCACTCATCATTTTAAAGGAATTACACTGTCTGGGAAGACAAGGGGATTAGAGGAGGACGTGAGAGAGCACCATAAGGAAAAAAAAACAAAACTGGAAGAAAAACAGGAAGATAGCATCTGCCTAAAGTCATTCACTGTCAGAAAAGAGAAAGAACAACAGAAAAGCAATCAAATGATGATAGGATGCAACTATTTTGGTTGAGCAACTTAAGAGAAGTGGGAACATGTAGCCAGATAAAAGTATGGCTTTCACCTGACTATGTTGTCACTGTCAACAAAGTAATGGCAATGAAAAAGCAACAATTACCTGAAGTCTTGAACAAGATGAAGGGTTTGATACAAACCAACAAAGTCCATGTTCAGTAATCCAGGTCTACAATCCTACAATTTTCAGTCAGGTCATCTGGACAGGTTCTTTTTTTTTTGTGCTGAAATGTTTCACCTTCCATCCAGAAGACTTTATCAGTCAAGGAAACACACAACACAAAACTGATTCTTCCCCCAACAGCTTGCTCCAAAGTGGGAAGAATCAGTTTTGTGTTGTGTGTTTTCTTGACTGATGAAGCCTTCTGGATGGAAGGTGAAACCTTTCAGCAAAAAAAAAAAAAAAAAAGAAAATAAACTGTCCAGATGACCTGACTGAAAATTGCTGGGTTTGATACAAAGTTGCTGCACAACACAAACAATTCAATCTGTTTATTCGAAGATCTGTACAATTTAATCTTCAGTAAATCAGTGGCAAAATGGGATGTATGTACAACACTGAGGGGCTTTATCATTTTTTAATACTTCAATGTAGTACAGACTTCAGAATAAATTATATAGAGTATATATATATATATATATATATATACACACACACAAAAAAAAAAGAACTAAAATCAAGGGAATGAAAAAATGACCATCTCAAACTACACCAGCAAAAAATAAATAAATTCCAGAAAGTCTCGGCAAACAGGCTTCATTATAAATCCACACCTTCAACAAAACTAACACACAGAGGCAGCGGTAATAAATGCCCTTTTCATAATATAGTTCTGTGATATGATTTAAGATAATCCCCTCTTTAAGATGCCTCTTGTATTTCACCACTGCAAAGTCCTGCAATGCATTATGTTTACTCAAATGCAACCAGTGACACCACAGCTATTGGTTAGAGTGAAGTACTGCAGGCACTCTGACTGCTTGCCAGCTCAGAAGCATAACCTCAGTGGGTTGAATTCCGATCTTACACCAGCTCAGTCCTTACAGAAACCCCAACAAGATATAAAGGAAGGCTTTAAGTCCCAGCTTTAAAAGGTTTTGGGAAAGCCGCTATAGAGCCCACCCAAAAGTGTGTGATTTAATGTGGTTAAGAAAAAGTTTAAAATGTAAGCTTGTAAAAATAAATAAATAAAAAAGGAAGAAAAATAAACTATTATAATTTGGCATGTTGTTGTTTAGATAAATGGGGATCTAGAATCTTCAACACTGCTTTTTAATGTAAAAACTAAACTGTGCACTTCATTAGAGGAAAAAAAAAAAAACAAACGGTGTAACTTTCCAGATATAAATCCCTACACACCCCTGCTTGGTTGTTTAATTAGAGTGAAACATTTATTCATCAATACTAATGCTACCCAAATCAAATCTAAGGCTATGAGCAGCTTTCTAATAACATGAGCTGTTTTATAAGTTCTCCTGTCTTTCTTTTGTACTCCTAGACTGTCTCATCAGTCTCGCTGCAATTACCTGGCATAATTTGGTTTGTGCATGCTTGGTAATAAATCTTGCACAACTTGCTCACCAGTGCATTTGACTAACATGCCTATGGCTATAGCGTATTAAACTACTGAATTAATTTATGTCTATACATAAAAAGCTGCTTTACCACTTGATTAAGTCTAAGCTTTAATGCTGCCATCATCAGATTAGCTGAAACACTTCATTCTTCTAACAACTACAGTGCAACGTGTAAAAGAGGGACTGATGAAAAGTTACTTACTATGGACACAAACAAAAATAAAAAAAAACTTAACGGAAAATAAATCCATCATGTAAGAAAGAACGCATTAGAATGTGGGAGTTGGCAAAATGTTTCATACACAAACTTGCTTTATAAATTGTGAATTTTGTCTATAAAACACAACAGCACTACCAGCCCACAAAATGCCTTGCTATATATATTTGTGAGAATTAAATTGTAAGTTAGAAATTATAATAAATATCATATTTTTTAATTGTAAGTTTCAGTTCAAGAAAGAAAAAAAAAAACACAAGTTCAGAAAAAAAAAGTGGAAAGCAACAAACGTCTGGACATAAAAATGACAAGAAAATGAGAAAGGGATGAAAGATGAAATAAATATACAGTAATCGACTAACAAGCATATTAAAATGTTTGGAATACTGACAGAAAGTCAGCAATTCTTGATGCATATATACGTTTTTACACAGAACAAGACAGAGGAGCCAGAGCAACACAAAGGAACAGGTGTGAAAATATGAAATAGTGATTTTTATCTATTTTTACTTTCAACTTTATGGTAGTGTATGAGTGGACATATGTAAAGTAAAAGTAAAGTGCTATGTATTGTTAGTTCTCTGCATTTAACCCATCACACCTGCGATACACTCAGGTGGTGCAGTGGGCAGCTATGTAAGCACCCAAGGAGCAACTAGGGATTAGATGTCTTGCTCAAGGACACCACAATATGTGGGCATGGCGGGAAGCTGAACCTACGACTTTCTGGTCCCAAGTCGGCTGCCTTACCGCTACACCATCTCGGCCCACAAGCTCACAGCACTCGTTTGTTCCCAGGTGATCAATCTCTCATCCAAGTACTGTCCAGGCCCAACCCTGGCTTCCGAGATCAGATGAGATTAAGCGTGTTCAGGGTGGTATGGCCGTAAAAAAAAACATGGTTAGAGACGCCACGAAGTAGGTGGTAATGCCTTAACCGTATGTGTTGATGCCCTGAAGGTGCAATTCCATCCTTGTCAAGGGGAGTGCACTATATGTTCAACTCAATTCAGTTTATTTATATAGTGCCAAGTCACAGCGGAAGTCATCTCAGGGCACTGAACAGAAACATCCGTATACATGAAAAGTAAGTTGATACTATTCATCTGAGGAGCAGACTGCTTTGAGTTTTACTTCATCACAGAAGTCTCATCTTGAGCAAGCACAAAGGCAACAGTGGAAAGGAAAAACTCCCTAATGAAGAAGAAACCTCTAGCAGAACCAGGCTCAGAACAAGCGGTCATCTGCTATGTGCATGTCTGAGTATTTGTTGAGTCGTGACTACAGCTTTTTTTTTCCCCGTCTCTGCTTGAGGTGGATTTAGTTTTAGTACATAAACCTTCTACAAGTTCACTTGTGTACTTGTATAGCGTCATAGTTTTTGTAAATGTGTCTGCAAACGTGCAGAAGTCACTCATTAGATAAACAAAGCAACAGACGCAACCACATGTTCTCAAGGGCACTTCTATGCCCTTTGATTCTTACTCTCATGTTTGTCCACACCTTTTTGTCTTTTTCTCCCCAATCGTCTTCTCTCCTCGTAGCATCATTTTTTCCTGTTTTTGCCTCACATTTTCATTTTAATTTCACACATGAGTGAACAAACTTAAATGATGACCAGCAAAGTCATATCTGTGCGTGTATGAGCGTGTGTGTGTGTTTGCACACATATTGGTAACAAGTGGCATGTGCCTGATAAAACATGGAAAAGAGAACGGAAGGAAGAAGAAAGAAAAACATGGACGTCTAAGTAAAGGAAGCATCAAGAGATGGAAGTCCTGAGGAAAGGACAGGATTAAAGCACAAAACAATATACTGACAATATATTAACCAAGCACAAAAGAGATAAAATGATGGACTTCATACCACTTGTCCATTCTGAGGGTTTTTGTGGGCATAGGGGGGACCTCGTATATGATTCCACATCTGTCCAGACGTCATTGCAAAAACCACACACTGTAACAGAGTTGAACAAGGGACAAAAAATAATAAAGTTGATGGATCATTTTAAGTGTGGCAATATTCCAAGAAGTTCAGCTAAGTTACAAAGTAAAATATGTCCATTTATAAAGCATTAACAAATTGTGAACCTCTTTGGTCATTTTTTAGTACAAGGCATAATTAGCCAGAACCTCTACAGTAATCAGCTTTTGGCAGAAAAGCTAAAAGTATTCAACGATAAAGCTAGTTTGAATGTGAATGAGTATTTATGAGTGTGCACATCTGTCCTACCAAAGCAGCCATGGCCCATCCAGTCTTGTTATAAATAAATTCCAAGTTGTTTCTCCTCAGATACAGCAGCCCTCCAACCAGAGACACCAGCAGCGCCAAAGCAATGGTGCCTGAATAATTTGGAGGTCGGAAGACTCGAATCTAAGAAGGGAAAAGACCGGTACAACAGTTAGAATAATTAACAGCAATATAACAAATATTAACGTTAAGGAAAGTTTTTACTTGCTTCTTTAAAACAGTTAGGATGAAAACAGTGACTACATAAAAAGGTGTATTTGTTTGCTTTCATACTATTAAATAGAAAAAAAAAAAGATAAATAATTAAATTTAAAAAATAAAAATATGTAAAGTGAAACTCTACATAAAAGAAAAGCATGATGCTTTCTAAACTAAAGCAGTTGGTGTCCTTAAAAATGGCAGATATGACATTTTATATATTTTAGAGCAATTTCTGGGCTATTTTAAGTTATTATAAAGTCAACAACTTAAGATAATCTAATACTAACAATGGTTGGAGTTTATATATTTATGAGCAGTTCAGTTTTGCGCAGAAAAATGTGTCACGCTAACACCTCAATTAAAAACTTCAGCCTTTTCATTTTCCATCTTTACTTAAGTTCTACTTAACTTATTCTCTGTAGCAAAGAATCTGGATCAACATTCTTACTGTCACTTGGGTTTTGCTTTTCTCAAGAGCAAAATCTCATTGGGAGGTTTCAGAAATAAATTAATTACAGACAAGTGTTTTGTTTTGTGTTTAATATCTCAACAAGTACACAGACTTATACTTGTTATCTGATTGACTTATCTATTGACCTAGACTTGTTTTATATAATAATTTTGAAATCAAAACATTTAAAATCTGATTTCCAATTTAAACAAGCTGTTAGCACATTATACTGTATGACTGCTCCCATCAAAAAGTAAACAGCAAGAAACGGTAAGCCTTCACTGTTTTTAAATATTATAAATTTTAACCGAATAGTCTGAAAAATATCCATTCATTTTCACGTTCCCAGTTTTCCAAATGTTCAGACTATGTTTGTGCATGAACTACAGGCTATACAAGGACAAAAGATTGCAGATGATTGAAGCTGGGACTTGACCTCTACATTGTTCTTAACAGTTTATTGTCAAAAGCTCTAAGGAACAACCCAAAATGACTAAAAGCAGATGTACAATCATATCCCTAAACCTAAAATCTTATGTCATGTTGATGACTGCATACTGTTAGTAAGGCTGACTCAACCAATAAAATGTGACCTTCAAACAGGAACTCAGATGAAATGTTATTTCACATTTTAATGGGTTATCATCTTACTTGTTCAGTAGAATTAAAACGATGACATAAATGTTAATCAAATGTCTTGCCATACAGTTTTTATACTCACAATCACATAAAGGTCCAAAAGAAACAATAATAATACGCATTAACTATTACTGAGTGGGTGTTTCTCTCATCCTCCTTCAAAACGAACGTTCCTTCGAAGAGGATAGTTGGACTGAATGTTTGATCAATCTGTCTTTTTTATTTTTTATTATGGGGTTTATGGGATTTCATGTGTTGATATGGAAATGTTGTGGGATGAAGCATTTGGGGGGTTTGCGGGGCATAACTGATGGTTTGATTAAACTGTGTTAACTGCCTTAAATGTTACCCTTTGTGGCTAATCTATTATTAGTTTATTTATGAGAGTTTTTGCCTTTGCGGGTAAATTATTTTCTGTTTACTGTACTTGGTTATTCCTACATCTCAAACATAAGTTTTTTGCGCTGTCAGCTCCAGGCACTGCCCGAGACTTAAATAGCGTTTTATGTAATTAATCCCCCTTTTACCTTAGTTTTGGGGGCGGGTTGTTACAGATGGACAACCGGATCATCAGCCGCGTGCGTCCGCTGACCGTTAATAACGATAATACCGATGATATTACCTGTATAATAAATATAATATTATAATAACTATTATGATCTGCTGACTATTGTTAATAAACAAGAAATCTTATATCTTCCTTTCTTGGACATATGTTTTTAAATCATGTCAAACGGATTTGTTTACAAAAGCACAGGTAATTGGTCGGTTTCGGATCAGGCTCGGAATAAATTATACTGGTTTGGGCCGGGCTGGAATTTTTTAGTCCCGAATGCAACTCTGGGCACAAAGGATGCTATACTCAGTTTTTACTTTTAACACTATGTCCATCCAGTAACAAATACAAATACTAAAAACAACTATATAAACTGGAATAATTAAAAATAATGGTAAAAATCAACCAAGTCCTGCAGTTTCAGCTGCATTGTATTAATTCTCCCTGGAAATGTGTCAACATGAGTATGTGCAGTTTGTTCGACTAGTACCTGAACATCTGTGCGGTCAGCGATCCACTTGGCCAGCTGCTCAGAGGCAAACCCAATCCTCTGCAGGTCAAATGTATCAGCCCTTTTCGGCTTTCCCTTTGCTGGGAAATGCATAAAGGTTGGAGCACTATTCATGTTCAACTGAAAGACACACACAAAATAAAAAGTTATGTTAATTACCTGAAACTTAACAAGCCAAACTATTTTCCCAGTAATTTGGACACAGGAAAACTTTTTATCTATTGCAGGTAGTTTAAAGTACCCCCATTAAAACATCTGCCTTCTTTGACTATGTAAATAATGGTAGTTTTTATTTACATTTTCAACAAGTTCAACAAAACAGATATGTCCCTTTAATCATCACCCTGCTCTTGTTTCTTCCCTAACTTTAGCTTTTATCACGACACACACTAGAGAAATGTTTTAAACATGAATGAGCATCACTTATGAGAAATACAGATAAGTGAAGATATTAAATGATGTGCCAGAAGGAATCTGTTTCCAATAAACATCTCTGTGAGTGAATGATCACTACAGATAAAAACTCATAAATGTCATTGGCAGCATCAGTGAAGATATCTTTTTTTCAGCCTGCAAACATCAGAGAGGAGTACCATAAAAGCTCAGTTTGATTCTATATCAGCGGCAGTTTGCAGGTGTTTCATAACATTAAAGTGCTGCTGTCAGCAGAAAACAAAGTATTTGAACTTTGGTATTTTATTCATGCTGTGAATAATAAAAAAAAAAAGAGGCTGTCAAAATGCTGTCCACAACATTCAGTCACATCTCCCACATATTACACATTTTCACCGCAGTAGCCTTGGGCTGTCCATCATCTCATGGTCAGTCTTTACTATCACAAAGCTTCCCAACGACAAGGTTTACTGGAGTAACAGTTGTTACCACAACACTGAAAGTCAGCCATCCATGTTTATTTGTTATTGAGTCAGGGAGACTTTGCAGCACTATATGTGGTGGTCAAGTAGGTAAATAAATAAATAAGTAGAAAAAGTGGAGAATGTAACGGCAGTAGAAAATTAAAGCAAGAAAAGGCTAGTAAGTTAGTAGTGATATTTTACCAAGATTATAAAGATTTAACAGGTACACTTTTGAAAAACATGGATTGAAGATGGCAGATTGGAGAGCTGTGTCTGCAGCTGATGGAACTTCATGCTTATTATTGTGGCTTCCCTGCCTGTGAATGCACACTGCAGCACAAACTGCTCCTCACAGGTCCAGAAGCAAGTCAGCAGATTGAGTCGCAAACATATTCTGCTGAAGTACGAGGATACTGATGTAATGTAGTGCTTTCAATCTTAGGGAATACAGGTTCTTGAAAAAGGTAGCTCAGGCTAAATTATACAAGTACATTTGATCAAAACAAGACAGAATGAATGGATGGTGAAAGAGGAATTTCTGAAGTTTAAAATCTGCTTTTTCTATATATGAATGCTCCCACCCCCATCCACACACTTTCTTAAGGGGAAAAACATTCTACACAAAATAAACATGGAAGTCATTTTCAGTCCTATTTTCAGGAATAAACAAATAATAACAGTGAATGTGAATTAACACAGCTCAACATGTAACAATGGATATGTTTACCTTTAATATATTTATATAGATATTAAAACAAAGACAAAAAATATATATATTTATGCATGAAAGACCAACATACATGTAATTAAACAAACCTGATTTAAACTGCAAATGGAAATTTTTGTCAAACAAAATTGTGAATGTTTACATTAAAAAATCCCTTTGGAAAAATAAAACCATAAAAAATTAAGCAAGAGTACACAAAGTAAGAAGTACGTAAATAAATAAATAAAAGAAAGAAAAAAGGAAAAAGAAACAAGAGCTAGCAAAAAAGCAGATAAAAAAAGACTGATGTTACCACATTACTTTACGTAAATATAAATCAGTATTTCCCCTGTCGTATTTTATTTTTGTCGGAATTGCCCGACTGCTAGCTTAGCGCTACATTGCTGCCAGTTCTTAGCACTAAGCTGCTGCTGGTTTTGATCAATGGGGGGTGGGGGGTGGATGCGGGAATGCGGAGCGGTACGTCAGTAGCATTTTTGGTAGTGCGTTGCATTGCGCCCCGCGCTACATCAATACCAACAGTTGTTGATGGGGAGCAGGGGGATGGGGGGTTCGGTAGGCAGAGCACTCGGTTCTGATGACGGGGCAGGGCGACCTGCTTGTATAATGGTAGGGGAAACACTGTAGATTATGGTAAAATAAACAGAAAGATGTTTAATGGACATAGAATCAAAATATTTATGGTTATGAAAATTAACATAAAAAAAGACTAAATATTTAATGTAAATATTTATATACTTTAATAAGGTTTATATGTTACAATTTAAAACTCAAAACTTATGATGGTATCTCACTGGGCTGTGAATGTTGGATATTAGTGAATGGTTTAAAATTGCACAGAAAAATTGTAAGAAAATAGGCAAATTACCAGTTTGAAGTATCACTGACTTCTAAGTTTTTGCAACCAAGGGACTAGCGAGCCACACATGCAGGTTTTATGAGGTCAATATTTGAAAATCTCCACCTATTTTTGTCTGCATGACTTTCCAAAAAAAATTCTAGGTCTTGTATTTTGTTGCCCACATCATACCTGCCTCGGTTTGCTTGGTACCCAACATGGCAGCTGCCTCCATATTTATGATTTAATCTACTGTACATATATATATATATATATATATATATATATATATATATATATATATATTCTTATGTACTTGAGTAGACTTGGACATTCAGGCCTGTAAACTTAGATGTTTTCTGTCATGAGAAAAAAATCCCGTGAGGACATCAAAATAAAGCTCAAGCAACTTTGAATTACAGAAACTAAACGGTGACGAGTCGGGGACACTAAACAACAACTCTGTAAATATCTTGAGGGAAAAGTTATCGCACAAAATGTTTGAGAAGTTCAAAATTCAAGCCACATTACTTTGGTTTTTTGCAATTCATTCAAGGCAATGGAGACCCTCACCATTGTTTATAGAGGTGTTCAGGATGTTCCTATACAGATGCTGTTCACAGTCACTAACAGTCACAGCCCAGAGAACTACTACCTTCAAACACTGCTTACCTGTTGGAAGACATCAGCTCCTTCATCATAGTCTACAACCGTAAAGAACAGCTTGTTAGAAAATGCAGACGAGTAACGCCAGGAGTTAGCCAGGACCTGATATTCCTCATTCGCCTGTCTGTAAAACATAAAGAGAGAAACAAAGTTAAGTTAAAAATTACATTATTCATTAGTTATTATGAATTAATTACATCTAAGTGTTTTCCAGTCACTTTGAGGTGATCACAGTATGGATTGGATCACCTCAGGTATTTTAATGACAACTGGAAAGAAGGGAAAACACAAACCTAAAGTCATTTCAGTAGTTTTAATAGTTAAGAAGTTGAATGATTTCCTGTTCATTCACCTGCTTTGTCAGACTTTTTTTTTTCAGGAAAATGTTAAAATGTAACACGCCGCCTTAAGCAGCTCATATTGTATTCTGCTCATCGCAGAAGGATTTAAGAAAATAGGAAACATTTTCTATGACATGAGCTCTCCAAAATGGATACTGTGGAACAATGATAGAAAATTGTTGGGCACGATATACCAAGAAAAATAAATCAATTTTGGCAAAAGCAAGCATTGCAACAATATTGTAGAAGCCATTACTGTTGATTGCCAATAAAAATAATAAATGTTTTGTTGACATTGTCCTCAATTATTTGACCATGTTTGTGCAAATACACCATTTTACTTTATTTGAAATGTTCTCAGCTTACTCCCTTGCTGTATGTTCTACAAAAAAGGCTATTTAGGCATACGCTGCACAAACAAATAAACTATACTATGCAAAAATGAAATGAGACACAAGGTTAGTTAATGGAAAGGTAAATGACAGAAGATGATGGGAGTGAAGAAAAGGAATTTGTCTAATATACAGTACGTTGGTAAAGTATTAAGCTCAAACTAGATTTTAAATCACATTCAGAGGTAAAGCATGCACATCTTAATTTTTTTTAGAATCATATTTTATTTAACTTTTCACCTCTCTAAATTCATGTACCGTGGGTGGAAAACTCCTCTTAATACTCCCTTCCCTTTTGAACTGTGTCTAAAGTCGGCTGCCTTTGGTTATGGCTTTACTGAGCGGGAAATCATCTGTCGGGATGTGTCAGGAGTGGTGATGTTTCATTGTTATATTTGCTGCTAATGTTAGAGTAGTCACTTTGAAGTGTCCATCAATAAAAAAATGAAGAGATTTGGGCTACAAGAGTCATGGATTTTATATAACATCACTAAGATTTACCTAAGACCTTGGCTGACAGACCTTAATGTATTACCTGAAAAATGTTTTATTAGTCGTGTTTGAAATAAAGAAGAGTCAAAAGTCTTCCATAACATGTGGGAGAAATGCTTAAACAATTACAGAAATCCAAAGGGATAAAGGCTTGTTTTTACTTCAACAATATGGGTTCACATTAAGGAGCAATTAAGAGGAGGAGGGGTGTATCAACTCAAATACTCCAATAAATCATTGTGTTAAATACCGACCATAAGTAGTGCACGTTCTTAGTCATCCACGGTAGCTCAATGCCACACAGTAAAAGTGAATGTATACTTCAACAAGATGTGAGACAAATCTGCCATTGTGTAGTTTCAGATGTCTTTGTCTCATAGTGTTTAGAGTCCAAGCGAAAACACGGGAGATAAATCATCATAATTCCTCCCACAGCACTCCCACTGTAGCACATGTCATGCACGCATCTAAGCTTATAAACAACAGTGATAGCAGGATAGGTAGAGGTTGTTTGTTTCACTCGATGTATCAGATGTTGGAAGAGAGGCTTGGGTTGTTGGATGAGGAGTAAAATTAAGTGGAGAACCACTAGACTGAGGAACAGCTTCTACACTGAAGTTGTTAGACTCATAAATCCCTAACCAGGAATATCACTGTTTTTTTTTGTTTGTTTTTTTAAATCACTGTAATGCCACTTTAATTGGTGATATGTACTTTATCTGTGCTGCTGATTATCCATGCTGCTGATATCTCATGCTGCCGATTTCTTGCCTTTAAGCTGCTGTATTCATACCCATCTGCTCACAACAGACTCATGTTCAGGCTGCTGTTAAATACATCATATTATTTTACATTATTATTGTTTAAGGATCTTTGATCCTTGTATACTGTTTCTTTTATACTGTATATTTTTGCTATTTTTGGGTGTAACTGGGACCTTGAGAACACAATTTCATTCCACCTCATGTACTACATTTGATGTGTGAATGACAGTAAAGAACCTTGAACCTGGTGTTTCTCTTATTAACCACAAAGCTGTCCATCTTGCTATTATAACAGCCGGCTTCTGGAAGCAGACCATGTTAAGTGAAATGTCATGTAAAAGAAGCATGCGCCGTTTTGCATAAACAAACACGCCCATAAAGTTCTGACCAACAACACAAAGCACGCTAACTAGCCTGTGAGACAAGTTCTGACTGGGGGTTTGAAAACCTAACAGGAATACTGTTCAGAAAGGACATAACCAATGTGCTATTGCACTAACATCATTTGAAAAAGTCTTGCCTCTTATGCTCAAAAAAAAAAAAAAAAAAAAAACATAAAAGTTCAAGCTAATTATAGTAAGCATGTAATTTAAAACTGGGACAGAGTTTGTCCCAGTGGCAGAGAGCCGTTAGATGAAGAGTGATAATGGAACTATGTGGCAACAGAAATCTTGGTCTTTGCCAGGTTTTGTACTAATAGATATTTCTCTTAAAGCAGGCTTTTAAGTAACTACTGAACATGAATCCACTTTCTTTTTGTTGTTATGGCTAACTATATCAACCTAAAGTAAAAACAATATTCCTGAAATAAGAACACACAAAGAGATTATATTATTTAATGCATCTGTCAATAAAACTGATTCAGATAACTTAATACCACTACATAACTACATAACCCAAAGGGCAATTCAGTTTGGCAATTTCCACCCTCCTACACATGCATATGCTCATATACCTTAAACCAGGGGTCACCAACACGGTGCCCGCGGACACTTGGTCGCCCGCAGGGATCACGTGAATCATCCGTGGGGCATTTTCTAAAAATAGTGCTCATCATCAAGGAGCACCGCCTAAAATTGTTTCATTAATTATGTTTTTAAATTTAAGTAATAGCATTTGCATGGATGTAGATTTGAAATGAAAACAATAAATTAAAACTTTTAGAATACTGTAAAATGTTTTATGTAATCAGCTTAGCAACCTCGTCTGGAGTCAAAGTGCTGAATGATGCAGAGCTGCACTCTGTCGATCTCTGTGAACGGCACAGCTACAAACTACTTTGAGGGGAAAATGGCAGAAAAGCTTAAGAAAACAATATTTTCACAGTGATTGGGAAGAGTTTTTTTTTTTTTTTCCATTATGAAAGACACATGTGTGCATGTCTCATTTGTGGGGCGACATCAAAACTCAACACGGAGCGACACTTCACCAGCTAACACATTAGCTTTAATGCTAACTTCCTGTGTAGGAGGGCACGACGGGCAGAAAAACACGGGGAGTTAAAGGCAGCTTTGAGCAAACAGCAGTCTTTCTTCATGACACATTTTCACACGTGGATGTCTTGAAAGAAGCAACGATGAATAATGTGAAAAGTAATTTGTTCAAAAAAGTAAAAGATGCTATGATCCGTTAAAAACACTGTAGATCTGAGGATCAGTACTAATGTTACATTTAAAAATACAAAAACTGTGTTAAAATTAACTGAATTTCAAATGTTACTAATTGAGATTACAATAAAATAAATATTTTATGTTTAAATATCTGTTTGCTGCTATATTAAATCATCCATTAGATCCCCCTTGTTCCTAATCGGGGTCGGGGTGGGGGCTGGAGACTATCTCAGCTGCCTTTGGCACCGTCACCTTTGGATGAAGACAGTGGGCAGCCTGGACAAGACTCCAGTTCATCACAGGAAAACAGACACAAAGACAAACTTCCAGACATCTAGAGCAATTTAGAGTCACACAGAAGAGCTCCAAAAGGGATTCAAACTGAGACCTTGAGTTCTCGATTGAGAGTTCTAACCACTAATTATCAATAACAATTGATTATACCTGCCATATCATTATATATAATTATTGTTAGGAATCCTTAACATTCATCGTCATATATTCACGATATGTAAATGTATTATTATTAATACAAATTTATGTTTGTATCAAACAAGTAGCTCTTCTTGTCACTCGGTCCTACTGGAGTAGCTCTCAGTCTTAAAAAAGTTGGTGACCCTGCTTTAAAGCATAAACAACACTTTCTAATGTAAAGTGAATAAAACCATAAAGATTTAAAAACATGAAAAGTAAAAAGTGGTGTATGTTATATCCAAGAATAACAACATTAAAGTCTGTTCTACCTTTCTGGATGCTAAGTAGTCCTGACATGTGAGTATGAATCATAAGATTCATGATGAATAACTTATATAATCAAGTCACTGATGAAGCAGAGGAGTGTCTGATTAGACAAAGAAGTCAGGTCAAACCAGACAAGGACAGAGCTGATTTCATAAACCAGTTCTATGTTCCTTTAGTAATCCTGACATGGACAAATATGAGGTTTATACTGCACAGGCACAAGGTGCATCCAACATGTATTTTATAATGAGAAAACAGTCATAGATAAAGCTTCTATAAGAGGCTAAGCTACAAAAAACTGCAATGTGTGCATCTCTATGAAGAATTTTTATTTTTATTTTTTTCTCACAGTAACTATAAAGTCTTGTTCTGACTTGTTGCCATTCTGTACCTGCAAAACCCATAAACACAAATATGTTCAGAAATGAAGAGCAGCAAACACCACATTCTATGGAAGACGGAAGGTGACAAAACTAAATAAATAAATACGCAATAATGAAATGTATCATTTAATTATTAAATACATCATTAAATCAACAAATTATTAAATATACCATTAAAATATATAATTAAATTATTCAATACAATTATATTATTCATTCCATGATTTATTCAATTATTTAATTTTGTCACATTCCACCCTCGTGTGTCACCATGAAATGATGTTAAATGTCAGTCTCACTCATCAAACTCAGTGGGCGGGACTAATGGTGAGCATGTGAAATCCATTGCTTCAGTCTGATGAAAAAAAAGGTTTCATCCAAATACACGTTAACCCAATTACTGATTCATCAAGTTTTTTCAGAATACATTTTCTGGTCTATCGATTATCTGTGGTCCATTTGTCTTCGCTTGCTGTGAAGAGCAGCCAATCAGGCGTCAGGATTAGGGTTAGTCCCGCCCACTGAGTTTGACGAGTGAGGCTGACAGTTAACATAATTTCATGGTGTCACTGGAGGGCGGAAGGTGACAAAATTAAATAAATAAATCATGAAATAAATAATTTAAAAGGCACATTTCATTATTTAATGGTATATTTAATAATTTAATTGTATATTTAATGATTTATTTATGTGCTTAATAATTAAATGCTACATTTAATTGTTATGTATGTATTATGTATTTATTTATTCCATTTTGTCACATTCCGTCCTCTATAGCATTCCATGTAAAGAAGCTCAATGGTTTTTAATCATAGAAATGGCTGGAATAAAATGACTTTCAGAACCCTGGACAGCTCCAGTTCACTTCAGAACATTGTTCAGGGATTTTGTCCAGAGCTGTCCTTTGTGTTGAAATTGAAAATTTCCCTTCTGTTCTGAAAACTGAAACAGTTTATTTCAATAAAGGAATAAATGACTTTCTTTTTTGAAGCAGAGGCCTTTTTATGTGGAATTTCTTTTTTTTTTGTCTGGATAACATTTTCTGCTAAAATTGTGTTAGCTTCTACAGTCTAAATACATGTACAGTATGTTGGTGGTTCTTAGGAAAGAGTGACAGTGCACTGATGTCCGTCTCTTCAAGCTAGTCCTGCGATAAAAAAAAAACAGCTGTAGAGGTCAAACAGAATAAATAAGGTACGGGACATAGATGCAAAAGTGATGCAAATAAAAAAAAAAACATTTAAATCGTTTTAAGTTTACATCTAATATGTTAAGACATTTTCATTCAGTCTTCTTAAAGCTAAAAGACTTTGTGTAAGTAAGTGGGTAAGTAGGTCTTGATGGCCTTATTCTGTGGAATTTATTCATTCCCTTTTGGCTGTATGACTAGTTTGAGTCTCTTTGATCAAAATGTCAATGTGATCCACAGGTTATTATTACATAAGGATATTTTATACGATTCCCATGGTGTGCAAGTCTAAATATGTGCATGGTTTTTATGCAAAGGATATGGAAAACATCAGCACACTTCTAGGACATATGCATATCTGAGTATGTCTGAGAATAGAAACCCTTAAATGTTTTTGTGAATGCAGACACAATTATGTACCTTAAAAAATTCAAATGGACATTACATAATGGCTAATTAAAAAAAAGGTAAATCAACAGTTGTTAAAGTAATGTGTGCCAGCTGTAAGAGCGGAGGATTGAAGTTTATTAGTGCATACCTGCAGACAGAACACTGACGCTGAGGCTGCAGAGCAGTGAACATTACAATGACAGAGTAGTTCCTGGGTGGGGCCTTGACAAAACGACGGAACTTGTCCCCGTTCATCCGGATGACCGAACGCCGAGAGGACCACTCCATCATCTGTTCCACCTTCTCTGACAGCAGGTTCTGAACGCACAGAAAGAAAAACAGATGTGACAAGGTAATAATGAAGATTTTCAGGGGTAAGCAGTATGGTCAATTCCATTTTACACAAATGGCAAAAAAACAAAAATAATCCCTTTGAATTTACAATAGAAAAAAAAAAGCTATGCAACACAAGCAATTAATTATATTCTCAGATAAAGTCCTTTTTCTTCCATAAATATTTTATTTCATTACCTAGAAGCTGAAGGTAACAATTCATATATATATATAATTACTAGGTGTGGAAGGTATTATTTATGCATTTTTCAGTGCAGAAATGGTTAATTTTGAATAGATTTAAAATGATCAAAAAATATATTATCAATATTTATTTTTAATTAAGTCCAGTAATATCTTGCAGAAGTTGTTATTAAAGTGCAAAAGTTCAGAGGTGCAGCGCCTGGAATGTTTAAGGCATACATGCAACGGTGCACTGAAAGTTAATGCTTGAAAGTACTTTGGCTTCTTTGAAGGTAAAGGGAAAATTATGTTCACAAGACTCACAATATATGCAAGCTGTGAACACATTTCCATCTGAAGGAGAAGAAAAAAAAATCCACTGTTACTGCCACTGCTGAAAGTAGTATTTCATCAGGCTGCGACTATTGGTCGTCAAATGGCATTTGCGAATGTCTTAAACTGTTTGCAGTTTGGCATGATGTAGGTGAAGGTGGGTAACAAAATATTGTGAACAGCTTATAATAGAGCTTTTCATGCTGTGAACACAAAAAAAAATTGGTATTCTCAAAAATTGGTTGGGCAAAACGCAGCCCCACCACTCACTGGTCACAAACAGAATTCAAAGAGGTTACAACAAAAATTTCCTTTACTCTTGCAATTTTATGTTACCAGCTACTCTCTAACAAACACAATCCAGTGAAACAGTACCTTATGTTACCTCTTTAGGAGCTGGTATAGAACATGATCTTTCTATGTCAAGTACAATAACAGCCATTCCCACACTACAACGGGACCTAAAACAAAGTGGAGGAAACACTGAAGATTCCCATTACGTCAATCGCGATCAAGCAGTAGATCGCATACTGTTCTCTAGTCGATTGGGAGAGTTGTAAAAAAAAAAAAAAATTTTTAAAGTGCTTATTGTTTAATGTTTTGGCCACAACAAAAAAAACAAAAGGAAAATAAAGTTTTTCCATCAGCCATCTGTCGAACTGGGGTGGCACTCCTGTCGTTTCCTAGCAGCAAAGGGTGCTAGCGTGGGTTTCCATATGAGAGCGGTAGTGAGTGACATTCGATAAAAAGCTTCTGTGCCATCGGTGCTCAAAAATGCCCGACAAACAAGCTAACAAAAAATAATTTGCCAGAAAGTTCCCATAGTCCAGAAAGTTCAGGACCTAAAAAAATCAACTAGTAGAGGAGGAGGAGGAGGAGCAGCAGCAACAGCAACAACAACGACAACAACAACAAAATATAATTTTCACCCAAACCAGCATCAGAGGAAAGTCTAAGGCTGAGTGAGGCTGTAATAAACCTGTGTTTAACAAAGTAAAGTGATGCTTTAATGCTGTACCTAATGATTGCTCTCTTCTGTGTCTCAGCTACAAGAGAAAAAGACGAAGGGATGAAATGCCCAGCAGATGTCCAAACAATGGACCATATTGGCCATCCTCATGAAAACTGTGTTTAGGGCTCACCAATAAGGATATTGCGTTCAGATTTAAAGTTACTGAATGTGACATTTTCAAGATTTTGAGAAGTTGGTTGGCTCCCTGTTAAGTCTCTGACTTTGAAACCTCTAATCTATCTATTAGATGACATTGTAACTGTGTGCGCAGCGTTAAACATTTGGGACTGTATAGTCCATAGGAAATAAACTGTAAATATCTTGTTGAAGTATTCAAGAGTTAAGGATACATCAAAAACTTTTTATTTGTTGTTTGTACATAAGTCATTAAAAAGTAAAAACAATAAAAGCATTTCTTTTTTTAAAAATGTGAACACAGTGATTTGAAGGAAAAAAGTTAAAACTGAATGTTAACAGGAAAAGTTACAATAAACGATGTGTCAAAGTGGATTGTTTTTAGCTTCTTTCTTTTACAATATTACTTTGTATGAATAACTGCTCATCTATGTGGAGGACTGTGTACATCGTTTGATCATCTCTGGCTGCACGAGTGTATCCTGCTGGGTCCAAATCACAAAATGGCAGGACTGGACGCCACATGCTGTGAAGCTGAACTTCATAATAGTATTCATGGTTCTTCTTGGGATGTAATGAGCAGCACCTATTCACCTTTTCAACATCATACAATAAAATGTATAAAATAAAACGCAAAATAAAAACAACGCGCACAGAGGCGGGTCTGACCGTTTTCAATGCGCTTCTCATAGATTTCTCAGTAAAACGAGTCCGCATAACCTGTCACGGTTGTAACTTTCATTTTAATCGACAGCTCCTGGTAATAAATAAATAACTATAAAACCTGAAATAAGCAACAAATAAATCTGGCCTTGTGTGGGGTTTTTCTTACAGTTTGGTGTTTTTTTTAAATAAATTGCCGAGCGAAAAATTATTATTTTTTAATACAACTTGTCGTGTTCACTTTAGCCTGACAAACATCAGTCAGCGACCAATACAATGAGTATATTTATAGTTTTTAATACCAAAAAATCTATCAGAAGATCTGTGAAGATGGACGCCTCTGTGCGCCCTCTCGATGCAGAATTTCGCACATGACACCGGCTCTTTTTGCACTCCGGCTGCACGCGCATCCGCCGTGTCGATAAACAAATAATCCGTCTATTTCCAATTCCCCCATTTCACTCCGCGATGGGGGACAACAAACCTCTTTATTGGGTGAAAGAATAAGATAATTTGACCTTCTATAAGTTTTGTATATATAAAAAAAAAGTTTGAATTTTGAATTGTACTTCTGTGTGAATTTTAATCATCTGTTACTGAATAAATTCAGCTGGTCTTGAAAAAAAAAAAGCTTTCAACTTAAGTTTTAGAACACAATTCTGCAGATCAGACAGCATTTTGCAAGTGACTCTGCGAGATGAAATTATTTTCGTAGAAAAGACGAGCAGTTCCCTCAGTGTTCTAGTGTCTCTACCATGTGCATCAGTCAAGCGTAGGGTTTGTGAGCACCGACTTCAGCTTCGAGCTGACGTATGATGAAACAGTCAGATCGTGATGAAACATGTTTTTCCAACCACTGCTGAATGCACCTGAGAAAATAATCAGACATTCTTCTGAGATTTTTTTACATTGTAGAAAGTCTTTGAACTAAATGGTGCTATATCTAAGCTGTTTGTCATGCATTTTTAATTAAAGACTACTGCTTGACAAGCTGTTTATCATGAAAAGTGTTTTCCGACTTGAGACACGAGTGTAAAAACGTACACAGCGTGCGTTACGTTCCTCTTCTCAGCTTTAATCAGGTAATAGAACAACTGTATTTCTCAATCAGGAAGATATGTATTGGAAAATATGTTGGTTTAAAACAGAAAAGCACATTTTTTACAGGATTGTGCTTTATCAAACCTATTTAAAATATATATCAGGGTGAATTTGAAACTTTAACACAATAACTTTCAGTCTGACTCTGTCCATCTTTATTTCTGCACAAAATTTTGGCTAAAGCAGACAGTAGGTAAATAATTTAGTACTGCAGCTTCCCTCAACTGCTAATCGACTGCTATGTTACTCTCTTTTACACACATCAACAACAACTAGGAGTTGGCTGCAGAACTACCGGTACACTAAATCTACACAGTAAAATGCCAAGGGACAAAATCAACAGACAAACGTGAACTAAAAGGTGAACGAGTGTAAGGAAGAGGAGGTGAGGCAGAAAAAAAAAAGAAACTGTTATATGATATGTTTCTTTATCATGCTTGGGTGTTTTAAAAGAACACACTCCTAATGAGCTACGTATATAATGAGGGAAGGAATTCACCATGAGACAGAACAAAGGAGAACACACAAACAAACAAGGTACAGATCAGTGTGCCTGTCCACAGGAAGTACAAAGTCCTCTTTGTACGTCTTTGATTTTTTTTGTCTTTAATTTGTCTACCCAGTTTTTGCCCACATGCCTTCTGCCCCAAAGGGAGAGCTGCCAGTCCTGGATACCAATCACACAGACAGTAATGATGCTCTGCCTTAGCAGGTTTTCTCTCAACCTCACACACACACAAATAAGTGTTCTTGGTTGAGAAAAGTAATGCAGTGACATATTACCAATGGATGCTTTGTTCTAACACAAATCAGCTTTACAGCACCAGCCTTCTAAAATCAACTGCAAGTCTGCAAAGAGTCCGTTATATTTGGTCCACACAATAGATTTCAGGGTAAGGCTAAACGTGGCCTATTTTGCTTAAACACAAAATCAGGCCTTTCAACAGACTGGCAAATTCCAACTGCTCATTATGGTGTTGACAAGGTAATTATTTTAATGTGGTCACAGCAGCAAAATAACAGTTATTAAGTTAAAGAGATCAACCCACTGAATGTACCTGCCTTCATGCCGTTTACAAACCTGGCGACCTGAAGAAAGACTGCACAAGAGATGATGGAGCAGTTCCTGAAGTAGCACTAACAGAACTCCTCAGTTCTGTCTTCAGGTGTAGAGAAATGAAAAATGCCTATGCACTCCAACAGAGGTTGACGTTACAGCCTCACAAGATGAAGTAAAAGCTCCTAAGCTACTGAACGCCACCACACTGGTAATGTCTGAAGTGATGACCATAACTATATTCACCAATGTGCCTCTGTGCACACAGCAGATAGAAGAGAGTAGCAAACGTCCTTCACGACTTAAAAGTAGTGCTCACAATTTGACCTCAAGATATTTTTTAGTACAATAAACCCAATAATAAATTAAACAGTTTGAAATTAAACAATGTATTTGCATTGTTTAATTAGTAAAAATCTAACTAAAAACTTAAACGGTTGGTTATTTCACCAAGTATTAAAATTGATGAAGCATGTGCATATTTGTCTTTCCATTCCATGTCTATCCATTATTACATAATATGAAATGTTATCATGGTAATGTAACCATTTACTATTTAATTTTAAAAGGCAACTGAACTTGCAATTTAAAATGTAACGCCTAGCCCTGTAAAGAAATGTCCAGCTGAAAAGTATGTTATAGTCTTTGTTTTCTACTTTATCCAGCTGACAAAAACTCTGGACCTGAGGACAAGTTAAAATGCTCAAACGCCTCGGGACCATTGAAATAAATCAACACTATAACCATCTTTACTCTTTACCTGATTTTTCCTTTCTAGTTAGCAGGGGAACTGGTGCCCATCCCCAGTGGTCATTATGTGAGGTGGAGTACACCCTGGACCCATCGCAAGTTCATAACAGGAAAGAACCACTAACGAAATATTCACACTCTCACTCAAACCTAGCGACGATCTGGAGTTACTGGTGAACCTAAAATGCTTTTTTTTGGTCTGTGGGAGGAAACCAGAGTACCCAGAGAAAGCCCACATGTGCTCAGGGAGAACATGTAAACTTTACACAGAAAGGCCAGGACGTGAACCTGTGACCTCCTTGCTTTGAGGCAACAGAGCCCACACCAATACCACAATCAATATATTAAATCTATGATACTGAATATACCACACCACAGATAAACATCAGTTTTTAAGTAATATATACCTATCTGAGGCTAAATAAAATGTTATTTTAGAAAATCTTTATAAGCTCTGATCCATGTAAAATTGTGTACTTTTAGAATAATGGACCTTTGAGAGTGTACA